TTTCTCAAAATCACATAAAGCCATGTTATAACATCAACTGAGATAAAGAATAAAATAAAATATTAAAATCATGATTTATCTCGCTGCATTGCGCGAATACGCTTCTAGTACAATATAAAAGCATGGTTGGGTTATGGTGAGAATGAAACTTATGGCGGTGAGAATGAAAGAGACCGTCACCCTTGTATCAATCCTAATTTAAGAGAACAATCAGATCAATACTAATGAGATCCACCTGATCAATTCCCTTCTGAGGCGCAATTCATGGCTTGATTCCAGATTCAAAGTGATCAAGAGTTCAAATCCCTTCTAACATTTATCCCTAACTCCTACTCTCACAAGATCCTTCGTCTATGAAAGCAAAAACCAGTATATATTTCAGTAGCTAATGATCTGAAAAAAATGTTATATCGACAATTCAACATTGAGAAGGCAAAATACAGCAAAACCAAAAAAAAATTAAGTAGAAGAAGAGGAAAGAAGAGTAATTTTGTAAGAAATGAACCTAAACTACCAGAAATGTACCACTCACCATCAATTTCGATAAGCATCAGTAAGAAGCAACATAAAGTACCAGAAGTCGTACCTGAAGCAACAGCAGGAGGACCGATTCCGATAAGCAAAGCAACAGAAGTAAGAAACGAAATCGTAGAAAGGAATGGAAGATGATAAGAGTTTACATAAATGGAAGAAGGGAGGAATATCTGATGCCTTAGGGGGGAAGGAAGAATGAGCGGGAATCGGAGAATCGAGATCATATCATAGGGTTTGGTGTAATGGGATTGCTTTATTAAGGGGGTGTTTGGGATTTTATTGATTTATTTCATTGTTGAAATTTCTTTATCAAAAGTTAAAGGCAAATAAAATATTTTTTTTTATTTTAAATAATTAATTCTCTAAATTTTTAATCAAATAAATTATTGAACTTTTTAAAAATGATTATTTATGAGCTTTTATCAAAAAGAATCATAAATAAAATGATTATTTATGTACTACAAAGTATTTGATACAAATTGTTAAAATTAATTTCTTGTATATGAAGTATTGTTTATTGATATATATTACTTAAAATTTAAGATTACAAATAAATTGTGCATAAGTTCAACTTATTAAAGTTTCATATTTAAATTTATGTAACTAACTGCAGATAAACATAATCAAATATTGAATAAATATCTCATTTTAAATATAAAAAATCTAAAATATAATAAGAATAATCATTGAGTTCTAACAAAATACTTAATTATTATCTTTATAAAAAAAATATTATTAAACCTGAATTAAATTTCTTTATTACTAAACCTAAATTAAATTATGATAAAAAAAATTGAATTATGGAAATTACCAAAACATAAGAAATTTTAAAAAAATTAATTTGATCCTGATATCGATATATTTTTTTTCAAAATTTTATGATATTTTCAAATTTATATTATATTCAAAAATAAAAACATTATCGTTTTCTCAAAACCACATAAAACTGTATTATATCGACATAAAAAGAGAATAAAATGTAACATTGAAATCAATATATGTCTCGATGCATTATCGTACAAAGGAATGAAAGATGATAAGAGTAAATGGAAGATGCCTTAGGGGCGAAGGAAGAAGTATGAGCGGGAAACGGAGAATCGAGATCATATCATACGGTTTGGGTAGTGGGATTGATTTATTAACAGCATCTTCCTGGAAATTTCTTCATCAAAAGTTAAGGGAAATAAAATATTAACTTTTTTATTGTAAATAATTAATTCCCTAATTTTTAAAGCAAATAAATTATTGAACTTTTAAAAAAATAATTATTTACGAGCTTTCAACAAAAAAAACTATTTACACTATATTATAAAGTATTTGACGAAAATTGTTAAAAATAATTTTTTATACATGAAATATTGTTTATTGATGTATTATGTATATTACTTAAAATTTAAGATTACAAATAAATTGTGCATAAATTCAACTTATTAAAGCTTCATATTTAAATTTATGTAACTAAGTGCAGATAAACATAATCAAATATTGGATAAATATCTCATTTTAAATTAAAAAATCTAAAATGTAATTAGAATAATCATTGAGTTCTAACAAATACGTAGTTATTATCTTTATACCAAAATATATTATTAAACCTAAATTAAATTTCTTTGTTATTAAACCTAAATTAAATTATGATAAAAAATTGAATTATGGAAATTACCAAAACAGAAGAACTTTTAAAAAGATTAATTTGATACTGATATCGATATATTTTTTTCAAAATTTTATGATATTTTCAAATTTATATTATATTCAAAAATAAAAACATGATTGTTTGTTCAAAACTATATAAAACTGTATTATATCGACATAAAAAGGGAATAAAATGAAACACTGAAATTATGATGTGTCTCGATGCATTGCACCAGTACTCTTCTAGTCTAGCTAGATACAAACGTTTTGAATTAAAAAAAATTAAATCAGTTGTACCATTCACAAACCTTACACCGTTTAAACTTTTCGCACACATTGGCGTCGCTCTTCTTCATTATTTGTTCTCCAACGGCAGTGATAAAGAGTGAATGACAATGACAAGACGAGGTGAGGCGATAACGTTGAGTAAAAAGGTATTTATGACATATTTTTGTTGTCGGTAAAATTGATTTTTTTTTCTTTAAAATTTCCTAGTCAGCGTCCTTTAGTTTTTTGGTTAAACAAATGCATGTAACCAATTTCTAAACGATAATTGTTTATTTATTAAAGTAAATGTTCATGAATTTAATCATTCAAAATCAGAAAATTTTAATGGTTTATTCATTCTAATATATAGTTTAGGGATTTTTTTTTTATTAACCTGGATATCCAACCCGCTATAGGAGCCGACTAATCCCAAGACGACCACCTGCTTTGCAGATAGTCCGTAGTCACCACATTTGAACCTCCGTGGCCACAAGGGGATTTTTATTCTTTATTGGATTTGAACCTGAGACCTCCTGATACTTTTGACATTTGGAGCCAAACTGAAACCAATCAGACATCACCCTTATGATTAGTTTAGGGATTTTATCATTTAAACTGGAAAAGTTTGTTGGGTTTTTTTAAACTTTTTATTTTCAAAAATTTATAACATTAATTATATTATTAAAACATTTATATGAATAAAGATAGGAGTAAACCTTTTATTACCCTCAATTTGGTAATATACATAAATTAATGGGTCTGGGATCCTAAATCCATTATATCATATCAAAACGAACTATAAAATTTCGTTAGTATTTTCATTTTTTACCCATCAATATCAACCAAACGCCTCCTTAATATTTTTAATGTAATATTAGTTTTTCATTTTAAACATTTAATTTTAAAAAATATATTTGATGAGAAATATTACATATATATTTTATATTTGTATAACCAATATAATTTAATCTCAATCGTCCATTTAATTTGATGAATATGTAATTTGATAGAAGTTTTGATTATTTTCTAATATAAAATATTAATCATAATTAATGAACTTTATTCATCTTTCATAAATATTTAATTTATAATAAATGAACTATCATCATTTTCATAAATATTTTAATTTATTAGGTTGCATCGGTTGTACAAATGTGATGGGTTGCATTTGAAACGACTTTATTTCTCTCTCTCTCTCTCTCTCTTTATATATATATATATATATATATATATATATATCTATACTACCTTATTAAACATCTTTGCTCAAAGTCTTAAAGTCTTAACTTTTTTAATACCAAAAATACCCTTACACTCCTCCCCTCCCCAAGATTACTTTACACACCTCCCCTCCCCCAAAGCATAGTTCTTTAAAATCTCTCAAGTACAACAAGTTTATGCATAATAAACAACATACCAATACTATATCTGATACAAGATTTTTACAGGCACGCGTTGAGGCTTCCTTCCCAAAGCGACAATTTGATTCCCAATACTATATCTGACACAAGATTTTTACAGGCACGCGTTGAGGCTTCCTTCCCAAAGCGACAATTTAATTCCCAAAATGGCGATTCAAGCTCCTGATGAATTCAAATATGATTAGAAATGCATTTAGGGTTCTTATTGATATCGTTCATCTATTCATTTCCAATGTCGATCCAGCACTATCCCAATCGAGGTAAATTCTTTTGTGGTTTAGGGTTTATCGCTTGTATTTCTTTATTTGTTGTTCTTTGAGTTTTCTTGTGGTTTAGGGTTTGAGTTCACTTGTGTTTGTTAGGGTCCGATGTATTGTATGTTTTTTTACTTCAATTCATTTCACTTGTGTGTGTTAGGGTTCGATGTGTTGTGTTGTATGTTTTTTTACTTCAATTTATCACTACCCTGTTCTTTCTCCTTTCCTGTTTTTTATATTCTTTTGTTATTGTGTTGCTTATCATGTGATTGTTGGAAGTCCTCAAATAAAGTATTTGATTTTTTCTAACCCAAGTTGTTGTTTATCATATGTTTGTTGAAAGTCCTCAAAGAGAGGTTTAGCATTTGACAATTTACAATTGTACCCATATATTGGAATCGTCCCTTTGCAGATGCACCAGTTTATTGCAACCTGCAAATGCCAACTTATAACTAATATCATACAACTCAACCACTTACCAACTAAACAAGGAACAAGCACACACTTGAGGTATGCTTTTTCCCCTTTTTAATGATATTTCTTTTAATGAGATTAACAACGGCTCCAGCCCTGGAATAATTTGTCTGAAAAGCAAACTCCTGAGATCAAACAACCAAAATATTGTACACTAGCTTAATTTCATTTTGTAATCTACACAAAGAAGGATGCATTTGATTATTTGGGATGGTAATGATATCTCATTATCTACAACCGACTATTACTCTCATTATGGTTACCCCTTACCCCTACAATGACAAGTGACAAGCACTAGGTCGATTAGTTATTTATCGTTTGTATTGTTTTGCTTGTTTTAATCCTTTTTTAAGTATATAATATTTATATAGTGCAATTACTCACACGCATTCCTTACCTTTAGTGAGGTTTGAACCCTGACCTCTTGAAAGGCCGGGATCTAACCGCTATTTATGCCAATAACCCTTAGGTTGCTTTGATCTTTTTTCTTGTTTGTGCTTACTTGTTTCTACTTTTCCAAGTCTCTTCTCCTTTTTCCCGAAACTGTCTCAACCGCTTCATTAACTTTTCAAAACTTGTGTTCTTTCAAATTTTGGACCAACTCTCGGAGTCGCTTAAGAATCCCTCAAATATTCTTTGGGAAACCTTTTTCACAAGTTGTTGGTCTCCAGTGTGGGATTGACCGAGTACATTTGGCTTGGTTTATATCATAGATCACACAAACAATGTCCACGATCTTTCACAAAATTCATAGAAGAATGTGGAACTGTACCATGTCGGTTGTCTGAACAAACAGAACCCTTATGGAATGGTAACAAGTATGGACACAATAACTGTTCGTAGTTGCCTTGTAGGATATCCTTGTTAATAAAATCATTTCATAGTTTTGCGATTCATACTTGTTTTTTTAGCAAGAGCTGTCATCTAAATTTACCAATTGGACAGTGGTCTTATATAGTGTGTGGCCGTGTGTGATAAATTCTTCTATTTCAAAAGGAGGGGCAGTGTGACTTGTTTAGAAGCCAAC